TACCATTAATTCTATCTGAATGTTTAATATGGAATCATTGGTATGAATACTTTCTGTAATTATTAAAAAATGGAAATATTTATATTGAAGATAAATTCTTTTAGAACCCTCAAAAGAAAGAATTAAGTGGGTGTATCAGACCCTTAATTTATGTTGCTTTATTTACTCCTATAATAATATAATGTAAGGTAGACCTGACTATTTTCATAAATAAGGAAACTGAGGTCTACATAAACTAAATAACCTGCCAATGATCAAGCAGCCAGTTATTGGCTCAGCTTTGATTCTCCCTAGGTCTGACCTGCAGGGCCCACCTGGCCATTGTACCACCCTTGCAGTGGCCAAATCTGCGAAGCCAAGCCTAGCCATTGTTACTTTAGTGGGATTCATGATTCTTGACATCCTACTTCTATCACAGCAAATTCACTTTAAAATATTGCTTACTTCAGAATCTATTTTCAGCCTTCTACTTTCTATAATACTACAACTCTACCCACTGATTTTTTGTGTTACTGTTCTTTTCAATCCAGTTTATAGCATTTTAAAAGTTGATAGTTTGGCTTATCCCTGGCTCATGCCTATTTTTCATAATAAGAATAAAGCTCACAATCAGATTGTTGTTAATGGGCAATTTATTTTTAATTTAGTTGAACATTTACCATTCACATTGCGTTCTATTTTTAAAAATTTATGCCTGCTAGTTATTTTTGGACAGGACTTTTTTTTTTGTAATTAGGTTTTAAATAGATACTATGTTCAGTTAGCTTCAAATTCAAAAGGTATAAAATAAAAATAATAATAACAAAAGTTAGCTAGTCCTGTGTAGCACTTACTGCGTTCCAGGCATTCTTTTAAGCATTTTTATTGCATTAATTTAACCCTCACGAAAGTGATGCTGTAGGTACTACTGTTATCCCTATTTTGCAATAAGTGAACAAGCGAGAGAGGAATACCTGAATAAGAAACCCGGTCTGGGTTTTGTCCTTTGGCCGGTCAAATGTCACAACCTTTGGAAGGCCTGTTAGGAAGATAACTCTCTCTTATGGGTTGGATCCAGTATGCCTACCACCAGGCTTTTTTTTTTTTTTTTTTAGTAACACTTACTGCATTTTTGCATTTTTCTGTTATCTCATTTTTAGACCAAAAACTTCCCTAAGGCAGATACCCAGACTTATGCTTTTGTGCAGCCCAAGGACTAAGCACAGTTTCTGGCACAACTAGGTACTTACTAAGCACTGCTTTGCTTTGCCAGGACTATTTTCCCATTAACAAATGACTGTATCTGCTCTGCTTACTTCACAGAACTAGGAAATCAAATGAGAGTTCATAGCTGTTTGTAAACTTCAGAGCATGCACAAATAGATATTAAACCAGTTACAGAGTCCATGCTATATGTTTAATGAAGACGGATGCTTTTAACACCTCTGGACATTAACAGAGGGGTTGGCACCCAGCACAAATAGGATCTCAGCAATCCAATGTGTCATCCTGTTCTGGCCTGCTTGTTTGAAATTGATAGTCTTAATTATTTCAAATGGTTTTTGTATATTCTGATTGCATGCATTCTACAGAAGCAGATAAAATTGAGTCTTTTTGGTTTTCGTTTGTAGAGACAGGATATCACTATGTTGCTCAGGCTGGTCTTGAACTCCCGGCTTCAAGCAATCCTCTCACCTGGGCCTCCCAAAGTGTTGGGATTAAGGTGTGAGCCACAGTGCCTGGTCAAAGAGAGGAGTATTTATGTCTTGACAGTTACATATTGCATACTTATACTGTCTAAACTAGTTGCATAATGGTTCTGCTATCTAAATCAGTGTTTCTTGGCATTGGCCACATATAAAAGCCATGAGGTTGTACTTTTGTTTTTGGAAATTAAACATTCTTAGGTTCTGCCCCCAGATTCATGGAATCAGGGTCTCTTGGTGGGAGGGAGAGATCACCATAGGTAATTTTTATGAGTATCTAGGGATGAGAAGTATTCTAAACATGTTCTAAATACTGTCTAAATACTGTGAAAATAATGGCTTAATGTCCACAACTTTTAACAGAAAATGCAGTTGTTTCATATATGATAGCTCTCAAGAGCACTAACATTTACTTTGTTACTCTAATGTATATTTTACAGTCAGTTTATGCTGGTCAGTTCTGTACATACTCTAATTACTCAAAACCATATGGCCACGGCAAGCAGCTGATAAGTAGGTGGTGCGGTGGCTCACGCATGCAAGCCCAGCACTTTGGGAGGCCAAGGCTGGCAGATCAGGAGGTCAGGAAATTGAGACCATCCTGGCCAACATGGTGACACCCCGTCTCTACTGAAATACAAAAAAAGTTAGCTGGGTGTGGTGGCGCATTCCTGTAGTCCCCACTACTTGGGAGGCTGAGGCAGGGGAATCGCTTGAACCTGGGAGGCTGAGGTTGCAGTGAGCTGAGATCGTGCCATTGCACTCTAGCCTGGGCCACAGAGCAAGACTCTGTCTCAAAAAAAAAAAAAAATCATCTTTGCCTTGTTTGGGAGAAATTTGGGGTGTTGACCAGTTAGCACTCCCTTATTTTAACAGAAAGTACAGCTTTACATGCAGACATTTTATGATTTGCTGCGGAGATGAGCAGCCATCTATTCATGCAGGAGCCTTGATGAGGCTCATCAGTTTCCATAAAAGGATGTCATTCTTACTGTCTGCTAGTATGATGGTCAGAGTATTATGTGTGCCCTTAGTAACATACAGGACTAGCAGGCGAGGCCCCCATCAGAGAATATAACCTGGAGTGCTCTGATACACAGTTTTTGTCAAATACCTCATTATGGAGAATTGTTTGAAGGACATGCAGTCCAAGTATTTATTCTAGAGTTTATTTATTTATTCTAAAGTTTATTCCGGTATCAAGGTGAGCCATCAAAAAGCTGTTTTAAAAATATCTTATCTTGCTACTCCTACCTTACTTAATTTCCTCACTTGTGAAAGAGAGCTTGAGTTCCCAATCACATGCATTGGGAGTTTATCCAATGGGTATGTGATCCAGCAGGAGCATAGCTGTGGATAATTAGGGAATTGAAAAAATTAATAATCAAGTATAACCCTGTGCCAATAGGCTGAAACTTATTAAAATGCAGCTGATTTGAAAAGCTTGATTTTCTTCCTTCCGTAGAGATCATGTTATGTGCTATTTTTCATTAAGTGGGTTTAGTATACAAAGTGGAAGTGTGGCACTCCCATTCTGATTATTTTACAGCACTCAGCATTTTTCTGCGTATTTTCTTTTATATCACTGATTTTCAGTTTCTGGCTAGTTTCCCCTAGTAAAGTGAGCCATTTGTTCTTTCATCAGAAAAAAAAAAAAAAAAAAAAATCAGTTGATGATTTGTTTTCTAAATGAGTCATTTCCTTATTCTAACTAAAAACCTTATGTATTAAAAATGTAAGAGAAGCTTTCCCACAATTTGTGTCTGGAAACTCTGGCTGCTTTTACAAGTTGGGGGGCATTTGTTATAGAATGATTTTTTTCCACTTACTTTATAAGTCGGGAACACATTAGTACTAAATGACAAAAACCTGAAAAAAAGCTTCACTAGATGGAGATTTGTTTTAACAAATCCCGTGGTGTAGGCAGTAAGAGTTGGTACTACCAGAGAACAGGGTTTTCCCTATTTTTATCCTTACTTTGGCATCCTTAGAGCCTAAGAATTTGTCCTCAGTCTTCCCTTTTCCAGGACTGTGAAGTTCTAAAATGGCTTCTGTGCTTCTAGCAGTTACTTCCCCTGAAGATGGAAAGGCAAGGGCCGAAAGGCTTTCTTCTTCCAAGGCTGTTCGGCCCCTCCCCCTCCATTCTACCAGGAGTTGTTTAAATTTTATTGAAGGAAACTACAACACATGGTCACTTCTAAGTATAGGGGAGTGGAGAATATACTTCTTTTACTTTTGACATATATAGCAGGAGAGACAAAGAGAAGAGGCAGATGAGTGGCTTCTTTCTTCTTTTACAGTCTCTAACAAGTGTTCTTACTGAAAATGGGCCAGTTTTTTTTTTTGTATTTTGCCTTTAATATTGCTACTTTTCTTTAGTCATAATTTAGGAATTCGGAACACATTTAGTCTGAATTGATTCAAATAGGTCATTCTTTTTTTGATGTACATATTGTTTTGTAAAGTGTGGAGATTATTTAATTGATAAGTCACATTCTGAAATCCATATGGGTAGATGATATATTGCAAACTTTAATGCTTTTAGAATGCAGAGTCTGTTGTAGCCTTTTGAACAATTTTGAATTTTCATGAGACAAGTTGAAAGTAGTAACTATAGATTTTGAACAAATGGCAGTTTTTATACCAAAGTAGCATTAGAGGAGTTTTTTAGAAACCTGATTGAAGGGAGATAAAAGCAATAAAATATTGGAAATGAGGTAAAATTGTATACTTCGTAAGACAAGTAATGCTTTTGTTTGAGAGTAAATGAGGAGAAAAATAATGACAAACAGCAGAGGTAATCTAAGATAGTAAAACAAGGAAAGAGCAATCAAACAGATTCGGCTGCAAATCTTTTCTACCACATACAAGTAGCTGCACTTTCCATGTAACCTTCTTCCATTGTGCCTCAGTTTTCCCATCTTTTTACATAACTAGTAATGATGCTAACCTCCTAGTATCATTTCCACCTAGGAAACTGCTTGACATATAATAAGAGGTAGTTAGTATTTAGCTTCCTTTAATGAATGCATAAAGGTGAATATTGTGCCTACTTTCAAAAGCAAAGCATGTCTAGTTCAGTGTCTGTGGCCTAGTCAATGTATCTTTCACGTTGAAGAAACCCCATACGTTATCAATAGGCTGGCTGTAAAGCTTATGGCCCAGTGCTAGTATGTATTGAGAGTGGCTACCTAAAGTGAGACAGATTTTGTAGTAAAATTTGGTAGAATTTATTAGAATTTAGAAAATATAATTATACTTTCAAAATCTTTTTTTTTGTTTCTTTATAGTTTTTTATGTTTTTCTCCAAACTAGGATTTTAAGAGTGGACTTGGTATTACCATAATTCCTATGAATGTAGCAAATGTAAAACAAGTGGACCGAACTGTGAAACAGTCTTTTGAAATAATCACTCCCTATAGGAGTTTCAGGTAAGCTATTTGTAAACATTTTGTGTTCGTACTGCTATAGGAAAGCTTGGGTGATCCACCTTTATGTTGTTCGTGGTGATTTTTCTCTTGTAGGCCATTTAAAGTTATCTTCCTGCTTTTCCATATTGTCTAATTCATTAGCCACTATGTAAAAACACCTTGTAAAAGTGACCTGGATAATCACAAAACATGCAAAAATATTTATTTCATGAAATTTGAGTAATTTCTTAATACATAATTTTCTTAATGGGCATGGTGTATGTTAATTTTTTGAAAACAAATGTGTGATAATTTCCTTCTCATTTAGAAGAAATGAAATAAAAACATATTACATTGTCTTTAAGTTGTATTGCTGTTTATCTTCTTTTAGCCTGATCAAATACAATCCCTCATTTAAAAATCAATTCCTAATTACATTTGTTCCATATGATTTCCTCCAGGGACTCCAACTTCAAATGATACTAAATTTAATGAATCTCTTAGCACCTATTGATCGAAATATTTTAGCATTTTTTATATATCTTTTATTATGGTATTCTACTAACTGTATCATTATGACAATGAAACAGATAATTTAAAGTACTTAATATGTTTTAATAAACTAAAATGACTCCATAGTTTTAGTATACAGAAGAGGCATAAGTCAACATCTTTTGAGTTCAACTATATTAATTAGTTTGTTATAAATAATCACATCACAGAGTAGAGTGCGAGTCAGAGGCGATTGTTCTAGGCCTTTAAAGGACTAACAATTAGGAATTTCAAAGATACTATCAAGTGTGTTACTCATTTTGCCTGTTAAACTATATCCATTGTCTCAAATTTTGAGAAAGAAATGATTGCATAAAAATAACAAGCTTTATTTTTACATTGCAGATTCTAGCCAAAACTAAAAATATAGATATTAATATATTGTCTGTGACAAATTTCTAGTAGAACCAGAAACCACTAAGAGTGATGGAATCCTAAAGAGCTTCAAAAAGTATAATTCATGTAGGCCATTTATTTTTATGGATTATTTAGAATATGTTAGCTGTGATTTTCATTATATTTCAAAGCATTTTCCTCTTTACAAAAGAAAATTTTAATATGCATCAGTTTTGTGGGTCATTGACCGAGTATGTAGCACTGTAGCACGTTCCTTTGCACATTGTAGGGGCTCAGTAAATATTTCTTGAAGGAATGAACTGCTGTTTAATGTTTTTATTCGTTCACTTGAGCTCCCAGTAAACATTAAGATTCAGAATAAATCAGAACGTGGCTAAAAATGTGTTAGAAAACTGTTAGAATGGTAACCACTTAAAACTTTTTTGATTTCCCAGTTTCTTAGAACCATCTGGGCATTCTTCTAATTAAAAAAAAAAAAGGAAAATCTATTCTTAAGTTTGAAAAAAAAGTCACAATTTCTGGTGGGTGTTTTTGATAACATAGCTTCAGACTATCATGGCATACTTGCTTGGCAAAATATTCCAGAAGCCCTGAAACTCTGCCAATAAACTCTTATTGATGATTACATAACCATTGCTTAGGAAACATAGCCTCTTGTTTAGACTTGTGACCTAACAAGGCAAATTTTATGTTTTCTTTGGAAAATGTGTATGTTAATTTTGGTTCAAGATGCGTAAACAAAGACATAAGCAATGTGGAAAATTAAAAGGAAAAAAACCACGATTTGTTGAGTTAAATGATTTTTAACAGAAAAGACAACCCAGAACTGCCTAGCAGGCATATTTTTCAGCTGTTGTTTAATTTGTGAGTGAAATGAATATGCAAACTGAACATACTGCTTAATTGGCCTTTACAAGGGAGATCGATAACACAGAAACGTTAATTGTTTCAGCTTTACAGCCGAGACTGAAAAAGAGAAACAAGACTGGATTGAAGCTGTGCAGCAATCAATAGCAGAAACTCTCTCTGATTATGAAGTAGCTGAGAAGATTTGGTTCAATGAATCCAACAGAAGCTGTGCAGATTGTAAAGCCCCGGATCCTGACTGGGCATCCATCAATCTCTGTGTTGTCATCTGTAAGAAGTGTGCAGGTAATTAGTGATAAGTTTTGCTCATCACTGCTTTGTGGCAGACGGACACTGAATGCTCTTCATTGTTATATATTATATATCGTAGCTAATGGTTGTGAAAAGTAAAACCAGAGAAAGCTTATTACATTTAAATCAAATTCAGAAATAGCTTATGAGTCTAAACTTCTCTTATGTATGACTTAGATATAAAAATGGATTTTTAAGCATGTAATCATATTTTGTGCCTACTAGTCAATGTGTAGATTTGAAAAAGGCAATGTTGAAATTTCTAGATTTTAGGTAAGTATGTTTTAGTATGCATCCTGAACAAGCTTGCATCTTTAACTTGAAGATTCGTCCACCTTTCCCCAGTCATTTTTGGTAACACATATTTTTCACCTCAGTGTTGTTTTGAGCACTAAACTTCATATGCCAGATCTGGTATCTCTTATAATAAGAATTTTTATAAAGAAGCACTTCACAAGACTATTGATGTTTATGAATACAAACCGGTACTATGACTGGTTTTCTTCTTGCGACCTCACACCTGACAACCTGACCTCTCCGTGTATTTGAGAGCTCAGACAGTTGCCCAAGTCAGTGGAAGGAAGTGGACCTCAGCTTAGGTGTGTGATCATGGAAGTTTTGGAGAAAGTTAACCACAGTCTAAACTTCAGTTCTCTTAGACTACCTGTGTCCCACCACCTTCTCCCTCAGTGTCTGTATACACACACACACACACACACACACCCACCCCACACACACACAGAAAGAGAGAGAGAGATGAGAAAGACAGACAGACAGACAGAGAATGCAGCTCAAATGCCAACCACTGTGCTGGTGTGTGGAATTGAAAACATGTATAAGACATGACATTTCCTTCACGATAATGAGACGAATGAATGTTGAACTAGAGTTGAATACAGGCTTCAGTGAGAACGCTGGAGAGGAGCGCCTACCTCAGCTAGAGTGCAGTGAGTAGTGCAGCCACAGGAGTCGCTTCAGATCCTGAACACTTTTCTAGAGCACTGTTCAACTGCATTTCTCATCAAACTAAGATTTCCTCACCAGCTAATTAATAATATCAATCACAACAAAAAATGCCCGTGAATCACCTTCTACTTTGTATTTTATCCCATCTTTTTCTTCTCTCCAGTTTCATTGGAAGAGACGGCCTTTGTGCTCTTCACAGCTGCTTTTTTCTACCTTTGCTTCCTTTCTTTCCTCCCTCCTTAGGATACCACTTCATCACTTATTCACTCTCTTATGTAAGTATTCAGCTATGGCTTCTTCTGTTTCATTGTATAAACTTGCACAAATTTGTCTCGTTAAACCATCAGGATTTCTGAAAGTTACCCATTTCCTTCTATGTGTCAATCTCTGTCCCCTTTTCCTTTCATAGACAGGATGTTATAAAGAGTTGTAGTGTGCATAGGTTTTTTTCATTCCTTTAACTTCCTAAGTTTTCTTCAGCATTCTGTAATCAGCTACCTTTTCACTCAACTGCCGTAAAAATCTTTTCACCACATTTACCAATGTATTTTACCTCTCAATTTCGGTGTGGTCACTTACTATCTTTATTATTGTCTCTTTATTTGAGACTCTTGACAACATGTCTCTCTGTGACATCCATCCTCCCTTGGCTTCCAATATACCATTCGCTCTGTGTATTCTTATTACCAATCTTTTTTTTCCACGTTACTTTTCATGCTTGTGAGATACATGTGTTCCCTTGGGTTACATGCTCACTTCTCTTTTACTGTGTTGCTGCTGAGTGATGTTATTTATCACTTTAATTCCACACTCATTTTTAAGCAGATGATTCTCACGCTGTTGGACACCAAACTCTTATGATTATATGCCTACTAGAATCTCTACTTAGATTTGCCAAATACACCTCAAATGTAACATGTCAAAAATGGAGCAGTTTTCATAAAACTGCACATTTTAATACCTTCTCAATCTTGGTCAGAAGCAATACTGTCTACGCTGCACTCTCAAAGCCTAAAATCTGAGACACCTTCTTGACTCTTCCTCTTTCCTTCAAACCCACCAAGTCTCATTCATTTTATCTTATCAACCTCTCTCAATCTGTCGGCTCCATTTTGTTTTCCTGCTGCCTCAACTCAGAATCTGTCATGCCTGGGTTACTCCAGCAACCCCTTTCATCTCTTCCTACAGGCTTTTACGTTTTTACCTTCTGGGTACTGTATTGCCTGTAGGTAGTCATTATAAATGCAAACCTATGCAGATTTCTTCCATGGGAATCTAGGGCTTTGTGCTTTAAGTAGTTTCTACCAAAAAAAAAAAAAAAAAAAGACAAGAACCTCTTACCTATTGTAGGGAAAGGAATGACTATTCATTGTTCATTAGGCTAAGGGCCCTTAAGATCAAGGATAGTGGACTGTATACTTTTTTTCCTTCTCAGCTTTGAAATAATCTGACATAACCTGGTTGCTCAGTGATGACTAAATGATGATTTACACAGCACAATTGAATTGACAGTAATAAAATTCTGGGCTCTTACTCTCTTCCAGACATACTTGTTGAATAAAGTATTCATGTCAGATTTTTAAGCACTTATTAGACATGTAACTAGTTTTACAATAGTCAAGTTTTCGTAACAGTAAAGAAATATTATCTGCATTTACATACATGTGGTTTTAGCAAGCTTTACAAAAGGTTTCCAGTGGCCTATTTCTAGCTGATTACCAAATGAGGAAATATTTATGCATGTATCTGTACATATGCACACATGCACATAAATATATTTTTAAGTGTAGTTTTTTTATCAGTGCAGATGCTGATGATGATTGCTGCTGTTTTTATTGTAGCCAGCTGTGATTTGTCTAATTCCCACTACTATTGTTAGTGCTCTTGTCATCTTGTCATTGAGGAAAGCAGGTATCGGCGTGTTTTAAGTTGAGAAGATGCGCAACGAACATACACAGACATATACACTTTTTTTCAAAACAAAGTAAAATAAATTTACATACAAATTAAAATAGAAATGCAATTGTGTTTTGACTCTAGGCCAGCATAGATCTTTGGGACCAAAAGATTCCAAGGTTAGAAGTCTGAAAATGGATGCTAGCATTTGGAGCAATGAACTCATCGAGGTGAGTCTTATTTAACCTGAATGGGGTTGTGGTAGGGGTTCAGTTTGCAGAGACTGGGAAGAGGTATGCCATGGGGTGTGGTGGCAGGAATTTTTCTCAGGGCTCTTTGATAAAGTTCTCATTACATTATGAAAAAGGCTTATAGACTTTTTAATAGCAACTCTTTGAGAATGCTTCCTAAATGAGATAGTTATTTTAAAAGTAAAAGTATAGATGATCTTAATAATAATAATAAGGACTTAGAAAGGTTTGCCAGTTTTTTTTTTATGCTGGAACTGTGTGTGTGTGTGTGTGTGTGTCTCTGTGTGTGTGTCTTGTGTCTGTGCGTGTGTGCGTGTGTGTGTCTGTGTGTGTCTGTGTGTGTCTGTGTGTGTGTCTCTGTGTGTGTGTCTGTGTGTGTGTGTATGTGTGTGTGTGTCTGTGTGTTTGTGTGTGTGTGTGTCTGTGTGTGTCTGTGTGTTGTGTGTGTGTGTCTGTGTGTGTGTGTATGTATGTGTGTGTGTGTGTGTGTGTGTGTGTCTTAAACCCAGCATGGGTAAAATAATAGGAGAGTGAATGAGAACATTTGGAAAAATTTACTGTTCTTTACCTTGGCCATACTCTGTCATTAACTGTGATCGAGGCTGCTTTGCTGGGTCCTGTCCATTTTCAGCTCCTGTTCCACCACCAAGCACTTTAAACAGCATTAGCCCACCTACTCGGCCATTTAAAGTGAATCTGTCTCAGTTGGAGTGTCAAAGAATGAAAATACTTTTGCTACTATTTGTGTTGTTTGCAATTCTTTACAAGCTAATTTCTTTCCATTATTTAGAGTGGCTAGGCTGTATTCAAAACTGATCATAGTATCTGCTTTCACTCCTTTTTCTGGAAGAGTTAGGTCTGTCAGTTGTTTTCCTGTACTTTATACTAAGTTATGCTTTAATTTGTAATATAATTCAGTTTCCTGCAGATTCAAATACCTTTTATGAACTGATATATTATGGGTTTTCTTTTTTTTTTTTTTGACAATTCAGCTTTTTATTGTCATTGGAAACAAAAGAGCAAATGACTTTTGGGCTGGTAATCTTCAAAAGGATGAAGAATTACATATGGACTCACCAGTAGAAAAGAGAAAAAACTTTATTACTCAGAAATATAAAGAAGGAAAATTCAGAAAAACCCTTTTGGCATCTCTCACTAAAGAAGAATTAAATAAGGTATTCAGTTAAACATAACAGGAGACATGGATTTTAATGTCTTTTTAATGATGTGCCAAGATTCTTGAGAAAAAGTAAAAAATCTTATACTATGTGACAAAATTATTTATTTTATTTCCTTTTGTGAGATTATTTCAGTGGTTTCCCCCTTGTTTCACTTAAGGATTCATTGTCAAAAAAGCATAATTCTTCCTCCATAACTGAAGTTTCCTGCTAACTCATGGTGCTACAATCTGAGGATTTGGAAGCAAATGGGGATCCAGTAAAGTGAAGTCTGAGGACTGATATAATGTGGGAAGAAAGGATGAGAAGAGATGTAGAGGCAGCTTATTATTTCAAGGCAAAAGAAAAAAAAATTCTAGCAATTCCTATTGTTTGTACAAAGATGATATATAACATAAGTAAATCATATTTTTTATTGCCTCTTTCTCACTGTTCTTCCTCCTTCCTATCCTCGGCCCCCGAGGGGAAGATCCTGAATTTGCTTTGCACTCATGTTTCAATTTCTCATAGCACTTAATAATTCAAATATTCTGCAGCTCCTGATTAGATTGGAAAATATATATTAACATTCATATGAAAAACACTTAATGGTTACTTCATTATTATATTGAAATATTTTGATTCTCTGCGCATCAGTCATTATCATAGTATGTAAGCATAAAAATGTCTTCCAAAGCAAGTATGATGGATTAGGTTTAGAAGGAACATCATAGCAACCAAACAATGAATTGAGACTTGGAGGTCTTGGGTTGTAATTTAAATTCACACAAACCAGGCCTTTTGTGCTTATTGCCTAATTCATGGCATAATTATTAGTAGCTGCCTTAGGATAAAAGGAATACAGACTTTATCCCATACATGAATTGTCAGACTTTCACTCATTTTAATAGCTAGAATCTTTTCTTTCCTTAAGATGTGTATTTTCTTTTAATGACCAGGCTCTGTGTGCTGCTGTAGTGAAACCAGATGTTCTAGAAACAATGGCTTTGCTGTTCAGTGGAGCAGATGTCATGTGTGCCACTGGAGACCCCGTGCATAGCACCCCCTATCTGCTAGCCAAGAAGGCTGGGCAAAGTCTGCAAATGGAATTTCTCTACCATAACAAATTCTCAGGTTCGTCACTGTCTCTTCATTAACCTGGTCTCTTCCGATATATCCGTAAAAGGACTGAAGCATAAATCTATTTATTTTTCAAATAAGAGAATCCATCAGAATGAAGAAAAATGTAATTACTCAAAAGATGGAGGGGCCTAAAACTATTTTTTATATCATTTCAATAAAAAGTTTAGGAAGTCAATCTTTTATATTCCTTTAATCTTATAAATGGAAGATTAAAATAGCTAACCCACATAATCATTTCCACCAACATTAAATCCGATTTTCATATATGAATAATAAACATGACTTAAGTGCTTATTTGCAAATTTTATGCAAAGTAAAATAAATATCTCTTTATAATTATTCTTTGGTAAATTTTAAGTAGTTTTTCTTCTAGCTCAAAACTCATGTACGTATTATAAGCAAAAGGAAAGTTGTTTATATTTTAGATATTTCTTTAATTTTTCTAGATTTCCCTCAACACGATATTCATTCCGAAGGTGTATTAAGTCAAGAGTCTTCCCAGTCCACATTCCTCTGCGACTTTTTGTATCAAGCTCCTTCTGCTGCTTCTAAACTCTCTTCAGAGAAAAAACTGCTTGAAGGTATTTTTTTCTGTTCCTTTTAGATATTATCTGATAAAAACTTTATTCCATTATCAAAACAATTAGGTTTAGATTTTGATTTTTTGAGATGTTAGATTTGATCTCCAAGTAGAGATATTTTTGAGGATTTATAAATGCTTCTAGGTACAAATATTATTTCATATACTGCAGCAGGGATTTACCATTGGGTTGGAATGCTGAGTGAATTCTCAACAGAATTCACTGATATCTACCTTCAGGCTAACCAATTCTGTTTCAGGTTATAAAGGTTATTCTGACAAAAAAAAAAAAAGGTGAAACTCAGCCCCTTTCCTTAGGGATGGACACCCCAACTGGCTCACTAGATAATGCAGATAAATGTGAACACATAGGAAGAAATGACAAGTTTTTAGTACATATTCAATTAGAGTACTAAGTAATATCAAAAAGTTCACTTTTTTTTTTCCTGATAAAAAGTGTGTGTGTCTGTGTGTGTGTGTGTTTAAGTAAAATGAAACTTAAACTTGATTTCAAAAAGTGGTGAGAATCTGATTTAACAACATATTCTAGGTTTGGGGAATTATCTGAGCAGAGTCACAATGGGGCATTTATTCATTTATCCTTCCAACTCCTTGTGTCAAACTGATGCTAGGTATTGGGAGTTTAAAAATGACTAAGACACAGCCCTTATGCTCATGTATATACATTGGAACAAATCTGAGAAATATAGGCAGGAAAATATAATGCAATCTGCCTTACTAGAACAAAGAGTGTAAGAGAGATTTAGCTGTACCTGCCAATTGATGGTGGCCATTGATGGGCTCCGGAGCCTAGCATTAATTCAGTAGGTGATATAATTCAGCTATATTACTCAATCAAAAGAACTACAGAATGACAAACTCACTGTAGAGTGTTAATCCTCATATATGTAATTTGCAGTTCTTATTTCAATATAAAAGCTTTATTTCCATATATATATATATAAAGTATGTAATATATCCTGAAGCAGAATTATATTGAGATTAACTATACATTATTAGATTTTCCTGAAAAGAATAGCTGTCCTATAGTGAGTGAGCATGTATTATGTGTAAGGCATGGCTTTAGGTACTTTACATACATTAATTATAATCCTCATAAAAGTCTGCAAGATCATTGATGTTATGTTGATTTTCACATGAACAATGAAGCTCAGCATGAAGCAGAAGTTTACACCTGATTTGTGTTCTCATTGTTACAGTAGCACTTTAACTTTGGTCAAGGTGTGACAGCCAGATGACAGTAGAATGGCAGAGCATTTTTATCGTTTGAATTAGGTGTTTTTGATTCTTTCGACAATTGGTTTTTGTCATCCTATACTCAGCCTAGCCAATAATAAATGTCAGATTTTACTGT